CCCCAAAACCCCAAAACCCCAAAACCCCAAAACCCCAAAACCCCAAAACCCCAGCCTTTTGCCCCTAGTTGAACTCGACACTCAAATTTTCTAAAACTCTATGTAAACCATCAATTCCACTTTAAAATCAAGTCATAGCCTCTCTTAGTCTTCGTACTTAATCATCAGGGATTTTCTTCTGACGAGTCTGAGAACTTCCTGTAGTTTCATCTCTGAAGTTTCATACCACTTCCAGATGAACCTAAGGATCTTCTCGTCAGACCCTCCGAAGTCTGCTGAGTAAATATCGAACACTGTGGGAATTATGATCTCTTCATTTGTAGTATCAATCTCTATTTTCTCGTTGAAGTATCCACTCAGGATCTCATCAAGCTTGGTGTCTATTGTAGTAGGGTCATCAAAACACTCAATGGCTTCTGGAAGCTGATGCTTATCCAAGCAGATGAACAAGGTGCGAGGATCTGTGATAGAAGTCAATAAAGTTGTACGAGTGTCTGAAGCATTTAGAAGTCTAAAGAAAGAGCCTGGGGGCTTTGAATTTCCACGCAGAAGTCCATGTTTCAGTTCTTCTAAGGTGAAATTCATACCACCAATGTTGTAAAAGAAACTTTGTTCAGGCTTTGGCCAGAAATAGTCCATTATGCCGAAAAAGCTTCCCTTAGTCTCTTCTTTCATATCAATGAAGTTGTTTCCATTCTTCAATAGATAATGGAGATGCATTCATTGATAAACATTCAGAAAGAATCATAAGGCTTCATTATAGGTTTTGAATTCCAAGTCAACAATTTCGAGTTGACATACTTTTGAGATGAAGCTGTCGTATTTCTTCGACCCCAATGCCTGCTCGTATTCTATAGTGAAAGCTTCTTCTCCTTCTTCAATGGCATCTTTGTAGATTTCTCCAATATCCTGAAGAAGAGACACCGAGACATCAATGGGATCATCAACCTCACCATTCCAATATCTGAGTAGGTTACTAGCAATGTCATCTCTATCCTCGTGGAATTTGTATAGTATGCTATAATTGCCGTGAAATTCCTCTTCTCCATCGATTCTCTGAATGATTCCGTGATCGAGCATCTTCTGGCCTATCTCTTCAGCTTTCTTGTCATCTTTCTCGACATGATCTTTAATCCATTTGTGTATGTCATAGCCATTTCCACATTTTTCAGCTTTCTGGAACCACCCACTTTTTACTTCTTCCATGTCAATCTCAGTTCGAATTAGATGAGCGAGCATATCGAGCCTGTCTTCACCGAAAATATTCGATGAAGAGGTGGTGGGTTCCTCACCATCATCTGAGGGAATTTTAGGGTTGAAGAATCCCTTCACGCTCTCTTCACAATCATTCTCTTTAACGAATTTGAGAATTCTGTCATTTATCGATGGAATTTCGGCAATATCGTTAATATCTGGTCTTTTAGAAGGGTCCTTGTTTAATAGAGTATGCAACAGCATCTCAATGTCAGTGTCTATTGGTCTAATGGAAAGGTCGATCGGATCATCTCTGATCTTGTCAAAGACCTCTTGAATAGAATTTCCATCAAATGGTTTTCATAAGAAAGTCATTTCATAGAGAATGACGCCAATTGCCCAAACGTCAGCTTTTTCACCATAAGGTTCACCTCTGACGACTTCTGGGGACATGAAATAAGGAGTTCCAACGTTTGTTTCTGTTAGTTTTTTAATGGTCTCAAGTTCTTTCGCAATTCCAAAGTCTCCGATTTTAAGAACTCCATCTTTAGTGAGAAATAAGTTTTGAGATTTAAGATCTCTATGAAGAATTCTTTTTGAATGCATAAGTTGAACTCCAAGTATAACCTGGCTGATCCAGTCAAGAATTGAGCTTGTGTCAAACCACATTTTCTTCAATTTCGCACTGATAATCTTGTCAGAAAGATTACCACCTTCAGCATATTCCATTATGATATGAATCTTGTCCTTATCAATGTAAGACTGGTATGACTTGATAAGGGTAGGTCCAATTAGTACCTTGAGGAAGTGGACTTCTAATCAAGCAGACTCTCTTTCAGCCTCATCCATCTCCGTTAAAGGTATCGTCTTCAATGCATATTTGTGGCCACTATCTTTATGTTGAACTAGATGTACATATCCTCAAGCTCCTTCACCGAGTAATTTGATCACTTCATATTTGGCCAGGTTCTTCTCTGCTTCTGTTTCACCAGTAGATTCAATGAAATTTATAAAGCTTTTTCATTCTGGAAGTCTTAAAGGTTTAGGGACAAAAGACTTGGCTCCAAGTCCAAGACATTCAGCAGTTATAGATTTATCACTCTTCGCACTCAGCATGATAACAGGTATTTTCGATAATTTCTCATCTTTAATAATATCTTCAAGTACCTCTTTACCTGACTTGATAGGCATGAGGAGATCGAGCAGGACGAGATCGAAATAATTATTCGGATCTCTGAGTTTATCAATAGCTTTCTGACCATCTTCCACATCTGTGACAATATATCCTGAAATTTTGAGCATTTCTCAAATAGTCGATCTCTGAAACGGATCATCTTCCGCCACTAGGACTTTGTACTTAGACTCCATTGGTATACTCTAAAGCTTATTTAGACTGCTAAATCACAAAGAATCCATACTTACCAAAAATTAATAAACTTTATTACCTCTCTCAGACTATTGGGGTTTTGGGGTTTTGGGGTTTTGGGGTTTTGGGG